TGGTAATAAATAATATTCGGCAGGTAAAATTCATATTCAACTTGTACTCTCAAACATTGAGTCCCTTTTATTTTACATAGAATATTTACTTTAAAAAGTTTAGCTCTCTTATGAAGTAAATAATAATAATAATAATAATAAAAATAAATAAATAAATAAATACATTTATGACGTTGAATCTTACTTCCTATATTAAATATTTGGCTTAAGTTAGATTCATGATGTGTTTTTTTACCAACACCATCGATTATACGAATTCACAAATGTCATTGAAGCATAAAGAATGATATATTTAATTGTATGTATATCTATATATAACAATCAATAGTAATTTCAAAAAGGGATATAGGGTTGTTTGCTTTCTCAGTAAATATCAACAAAGAATTAAGTTTTTCTTAATAAATTTAAAATTGAATACATGAAAGTAAATGTCAAATGCAGAAAACGATTTTATTTTTAAAAAATATCAACTAACATAGAAAAATACCTCACAAAACTTGTCTTTTAAAAATTTTGGACAGTCTCAATTCGAGCTCTCTAGCAGAGTAACATATCTACTTCATAAGCAGTGCCGGCCCTGGCCCAAGGCAGGCAAGGCCACTGCCTTGGGCCTCTCAGATTTTAGGGGCCCTCTATAAGTAAAAGCCCAAAAATTGCACCCCATCCAAAACCCCTCGAATTCCTTTAAAAAAAATGTATTTAAAAACTGATTTTTTGTGCACATGATTTACCAGCAAGTTGTTTGGAGTTAGATTTGCTTTTGTATGGATTGGGGCCAGCTATTGGCCAAGTGAAATGAATAAATGAGAAAGGATGAGTACATGTTTAATGGTGGTTAATGGTTCTGGGTCAACAAAAACCATGCGAGGCTGCAATTTGGAGTGAGATATACATCTTATTTTGCCACCTATCTCGAGTCCCATGCCTACTTAAATCACTTCAAATGATGTGGACCCTACGGTTCATTAATAGGTTCTAAACTAGCGGTTGGATCACCCACAACTGATATTTGTACTTAGTCACAAACTTGAGTCGACCATTTTCTTTTTAATATAAAAGTATTAATTATTTAAATAGTTGAATATCATTACACTTGTAAAATAAAATATTATGTTGAAGGGCCTCATAATAATTAATCGCCTAAGGCCTCAAAATTCTCGGAGCTGGCCCTGTTCATAAGAGAAGTGTTGGAGCTCGCTTAGCTTACTTTTATTTAAACAGTCGACTATGCGAATGTATCCTAAATGAAATGTCCATTTATTGTTAATGAATATACTCAGCAAAAAGAGGTTTCTATTAAAAAAGGGGGGATAATTTGAGGAAGAGGTGTCTGGAAGGATTTTTCAGAAGTCTAAATCACTTTTAGAGAAAACCAAATCTTGAGCTTTTGCTTTTACAAGAAATTATTATTACATTTAATGAAGCTTTAAATTAATAAAATGCACAATAATAGATTTAAAGAAAATTAATTCTTACCCAACTAAAAATAAAAATAAAGTTTCTACAAAAGCACTTTTTGGATTCACGACCAAATTTTTTTTAATAAAAGTAATACTATCAAAAGATCAAGTGATAAAAATTTTAGAAAAATGCTACACATACAGCACACTATACAGTTTTGTTGACAGCCCTCACACTATATATCACGGTCCCATATTTGTGAGAGGGCTGTATATTATTGATAGGAGCTCTGCTTGCAACATTGTGCCAAATGCTGAAGACTTTGTCTTAACTTTTAAGAGTCTTATCAAAAGGTCTCTTTCTTACTTGGCCTCTATTAGATAAAGCTTTTTATTCTTAACAATAAATTTTATTTTTTTTAAACTTGTAACTTTTGTTCACTTTTAACCACATTATGAAAAAATAGGCATGCTCGAATTAGATCATATCGTCAACTCCCTAATTTTTCTTTTCTTCCACTTCGACTGAGCTTCACAGCTCTTCAAAAGCCTCCACGCTCTCTGCATCAAGGCCTCCCGCGAAATTAAAAACTTGATTTTCAATACTTAATAGCACCAATGATGTGCATGCTTTTTACTTGAATATGTTCATCACAAATTGCATTGCGTCACTTGAAGACTTTGCCAGCATAAAATCAACACAAGGTTTATCATGTATTGAATAAAAAACTTGAACTCAGCCTGCACGAAAACATCTAGGATTCACATAATGTCACAATGGTGGATGTAAACATTTCGAGTTAGGGAGCACAATCAAACTTATATAGATCGAATATTTTGTTTTTGATTCTTGAATGATTCATATTTGACCCGAAAAAAATGTATTTTTATGTTTAATGAGCATTCCTTCTATTGGGAATTTACTTAACATTCATAGCGGAATTTAAACAAAATTTTCAATTCCAACCAAGGATCTTCTTAGTATTTAGAGAAAAACTATGATTGGAAATTATACTTTTGATGAATTCTTTAAAGAACACTTCTGATCTGCAATCCACAACTATCTAATCATCCAATCTCTAATAAAATCCTCACAAGAAACAAGATTGAGAGAACTATAATTTTCTTTTCTTGTGCTAGCAAGAGTATGAATTGTATTCTATACAGATTTTTCAAACCCTAGCAGCCTATTAATACGAGTCCAAGCGGGCTTAGCCCATCTCTTAAACTTAACCCAGTTCAATATTTAATTAACGGAACAATACATTACCCAAGCTTTTAACGTACACAATTTCATTTTTAAGAATCAAGGTTTAAATATATACAAAACAGGTCATAAATCATACTATATATATATATATATATATCGGTATGATTACAAACGGCTCCTTAAAATAAGTAATCTGTTACAATTTCTGCAGAAATCTTGGTCAAAAATCAATGCCACATCCCAAAAAAAGAAGCTTGAGCAATCGTAGGAAGAAAATCATTTCACATTATCGAAATCGACCTCGATACCAATTGGAATTAATTGATCCGTAATCAAGCATCCATCATTCTTCATGGGGATTTGTCGAATCTGGATTACAATCAGGTATGTGATTCCAATTTTGAAATCCTATGACAGCGTCTGTATTCATCGTGTGGGTTCGAATTCAACCAATTCATATTAGGGCATTACGATTTTTAGACTAACTGCCTATGTGACTCAGCTGCATTATGATTGTGGACGTGAAATCATTACGTTATGGACAGTTACTTATGTGACCGATCTCAATATGTAGCATGAGTTTCAATGTGTGACCGTCATAGTTGATTGGGATTGACTACATGTGGTAGTGTTCTACGTATGATACAGGATTTTTTGTATGTGACCTTGAGTTGCATATGAAATCATACTTTCTATCAGTGCCAAGAATTGTATAAATGTGACCATAGCAGATACCTTAAACTGATATGTGACTGATTTTCTCATCTAAATCTGACAGTTTTCCTTTTGAATTTTGTAGAAATGGGATATGTGCATGTTTGCTTGTTATACGGGTTACAGTCAGCACTGGTGATGGTTGATCATAATTGTTGTTATATAAAGCATCTGGAAACAACAGTGACAGAGTTCAGCCTAGATCCTACTAAGGTAGCTATCACAATGACTTATACACTGAATGTTGATCTGCCTCCAGTAAGAATAAGTAGTGATAGTAATGTTCGAACATACGTGACTCTAAAAACTGTAGAGCGTGACCCATCAAAGTACCCCATAAACATTGAGGTGACATCTACAGAAATAGGACATGAATCGCCCAGTTCTATGTTGGACAATCCAAATGCACTTTATGTGCAATCTAGTGCAGGGGTGTATCCGTTGCAGAATATAACAACTGACATATGTGATACAGTTGTAGAAACAACTCATCGCATGGATGAAAATTTGGTCACAATTGTTTCCATTTCTAATGCTATGAGTATAGAAGAAGGCAGAGTGTTTCACAATAAGGATGTTTTGAAATTGAGCATGTATTTCTTTGCCATACAAAATATGTTTGAATATGTGGTAGTTCGATAAGATAAGAAGGAGTATCTAGTCAAGTGCTCACTTGATGATTGCAACTGGATATGTAGGTCTTCAAGGTTGGGAAAATAGAGATTTTTAAGATTTGAAAGCTAACCGATGGTCACACATGTGCTTCAAACATAGTTTTAGGAGCTCATAGGCAAGTCTCAGCATCTGTGGTGTCCTCATGCATCAAGTATAAGTCATACTGTATACACTCTGAACGATATATGTAACGCATGTTGCATACATATGGGGTCACAATGAATTATGTTAAAGCTTGGAGGTCGCGGGAAAGAACTTTGAAACTAATCAAGGGAGATCCAACAGAGTTATTTCGATAGCTATCAAGCTACTTTTATATGCTTGAACAGACAAATCCTGGAACGGTGACAAAGTTGGAAGTCGATGGTCACAACAGATTCAGATACTGTTTCATGGCACTTGGTGCATCCATTGAAGGATGGGTCCACTGTAGGCCTATATTAGATGTGGACGGCACGTACCTGAATGGGCACTATGGAGGCACTCTATTTACAGCTTGTACACATGATGCTAATAACAACATCTTTGTGCTTACATTCGGTGTTGAGGATAACGAAAATGATGCATCTTGGACATGATTTTTAGAAAACCTTAGGGGTGCTTATGGTAATAGGGAAGGACTTTGTTTTGTATCAGATAGGGATAACAGTATAAAAGACTGCAGTCGAATGGGTGTATCCGGGTACAAGCCATGGAATTTGTACGTACCATTTGCTACAAAACTTGAAATCACACTTAGGTAAATCAGGTCACAATATAACACAACCATTCAATTTGGCTATTCGTGTATACACTTTGTCAAATTTCGAGTACAATATGCAACAGTTGGACACAATCAACAAGAAGATTAGAGGTTACCTGGTAAGGTTTTACTTTCGTACATGTACATACTGTCCGTGAAAGGTGTATGCCTTCCAACCTAATAATGTTTTGGCTTCACAGGATGAAATTGGACCAGAAACGTGGTCACGGCTCCACATGCCTGCAAATAGGTACTCGCGATGACCTCTAATATAGTGAAATCCGTCAATGCAGTCACAAAAGCAGCAAAGAGCTATCCTATTATAGCGTTGTTGGATTCATTGCAACAAACAATACAATCTTGGTTTTGTAAGAACAAAGACATGGCATATGGCACATTCACAAAGTTGTCCACCAAGTACGAGAAAATAATGAGAGAAATGAGCACATCTTTGAGGAACATGAGGGTGAAAATCATATTTGTCACATTACATCATATACATATATATGTGACTTGGTGGAATATGCAGTATGTAAGATATGTGACCTGACATTATCCTTTTATTTGTTCGTAGGTATCTCCAGCAAACCAAACAATATTTTCGGTTGTTGATGAGGGATCATCATTTGTCGTTGATATAGAGAAACGAACTTACACATATCGAATACTTCAAGTTGATCAGATGCCATGTTCACATGCATTGGCTGTAATAGAAACAACAACTAAATGGGATCCGTACAATTATTGTTTGTACTTCTATACTCGTGAAACATACATGAATGCATACCACTGCACAATAAACCCAGTGGGGAATTCAAACGAGTGGATTGTGCCCCGAAAGTTGAAGACGTAATTATCCTGGCACCTAATCAGAAGAGATCAGGCAAACCTGCTAAAAAGAGGAGAAGATCATGCATTGAGGGAAAACAAATGATGAAATGTGGACGTTGTGAAGGTAGTTGTCACAATCACAGGACATGTAACAACTTTCTTCCATTAGCGAAAAAATAATCCAAAATCATGTGAAATGTTAACGGTATCGACATTTTAGCGTTCATTACTTTGATTCGTTAGGCCCTTATATGTACGCAATTTAGGCTTACATTTTAATTGATTTGTGACAAACAAAATATGCAAATGAACTTTTCACATTAACATTTGTACATTTTTTCTTCTCTCCACGAGATGTGTGCATCTGTCACTTGTAACAGCAGCTATGCAGACATATGACTTGTGACCTGTGACAGCAGCTGTACATATATATTATATTTCGGGACCTGTGACATACAGTCTTGTGACTTGTGATATATGCATAGTCATGTGACCCAACTTGTCACCAACAACCTGTGACCAAGGAATACAGATCGAAGAATGTGACTACAATTTAATTACCTATGCACATGTGCATATAGTGATATGATTCTAGGACATGTACACATAATCACTTGGCATGTGATGTGTGACCTCTGCAAATAATACTGTGACCTGAGATCTGTGACCCATTTCAACCGTGATTTGTGTACTTGATATAGTGACTTGATATATGTGACCATCCTCAAAAAATCTTTGACCTGTGAACATAATACTTTAACATGTGATATGTGACCCATTTCACAAACATATGTGAACTGTGTACAAAAACATAATAACCTGAGGTCTGTGACCTATGACACAGACATCTGTGACCTGTTTCAAAAATATTTGTGACCTGTTTCACAAACATTTGTGACCTGTGATGGCCCATTTCAAAATAACCGTGACTTGTGTACTTGATTTTGTAACCTGATCTACGTGACCAATCTCAATAAATCTTTGGCCTGTGTACATAATACTGTAACATGTGATATGTGACCCATTTCACAAACATATGTGACCTGTGTATAAAAACATATGGAACTCTGGTCTGTGACCTATGTCACATACATATGTGAACTGTATTAAAAACATATGTGACATGTTTCACAAATATCTGTGACCTGTGATCTGTGACCCATTTCAAATACATATCTGACCTTTGAGCATAACATACTATCCTTTGATCTATGACCCAATCCACAAAAATTTGTGACCTGTTCAAACACTCTTGTGATTTGCGACCTGTGTCTACAACACTATGTCCAATGCACATGAACATATAACAAATCAACATTTTTACGAAAAGCATTCACCACATCGACAACAAGACATAAGCCAAACGATCATATAGGAACTGTCATATATACAATTCTCATAACCATAGGTAAGTTGTTTTGTTTTCATTAATACACTTAAGACAATAAGCCATTTCAAGTTACATGAACAAAATAAACTCCATCCATTGCAGAAACATAAACCACCAAAAAGTATTCTAGCAACTACACAAACTTTCTACAATAACTCTATGACAATGCTCTTTCCCTTCGACTGAACAACTACACAAACTCCATCCATTGGCTTCTTGATTTCCTTGTGCTTAAACAATCAGGTGGCAATGTCCAACCTAGCTCGACTCGCATCAAAATTCATCGGCATGGACTTAATGTCATCACGTAGCATGTACTCTGCATACTTAATGACGAAGATGCCACAATCATGATTGAACAACAAATTCAAGAGATAACATATGAGAGATGGCAGTATGAGTGAAAATTTGGAGATCAAAAAAATTCATACAAAGGAAAAATAAGTCACAAAATTGTACCCATTTTGTTGATGCGGAGTGTCATCTACGAGCAATACGCTCAAAACAACTGGATCTTTGCCCGAATCAATAGAGGTTCTTTTCCATATGCCCAAAGCAAACAACAATTACGGGATAAGTCTGATAAAGGGGTCAACCCCGACCAAAACCATTTTTTCACGGTAAGTTTTCTAGCTTGAGTTGTATATGTACATCTTATGGTTTTTTATGTCAAGTTTACAAAGCATCCAATGTGCACGATTGATGGGTAAAATTGACAAAAACACATAATCAACTTTAGACCAAGGGCAATTGAATTCTAAATTTCTACCAGTAGCAACGTAACAATGTATTTATCCGTCAATATCACATCTGGATCTTTCTGAAACTGGGGAAACATGTTTTTTATATTTGCCTGGAACAGACAGCCAGTTGTGGTAGCACACAATCTTACATGTTGACTTCTTAGGGCAAATTGTCGTAAATAGTGAAAACAGATGTCCATATGCTGTAAAATGTGACAGAAAGTTTAAAAGCATGGAAAGAGTGACTTAAGAATGCTGTAAAGTGCGGCACACGTTTAATGTGCCTCACACAGAAGATTGGTGACCTGTGAATATTGAAACCTATGATTTGTGACCCATTTTAAAACAACTGTGACCTGTGTGCATAATATTGTGACCTGTGATACATTTCACGAACTTCAGTGACATGTGCACACTGATGTGATCTATGACCCAATTTCAGGAATCTGTGACCTCTGCATGTGTAATCTGTGACCCCATTTCACTGATCTGTGACCTATGAGTATGTGATCGGTGTACATAATATTGTGACTTGTGATATGTGACCAATTTCAAGGATCATATCGTGCTACTCAATGAAGATTCCAAATCTATAAGTTGATGCCACCAGGTTTTTGACCCCACAGGAATTGAACTGAGTACAAAATGTGGACGAATGACATCATCAACATCATTAAACTTCTTTCTAAAACAGGAAAATAACAGCTAAATATAAATTAAAACCCCAAATTACCCAACTTCATAAATAAGAGCACACGACATCATATGTACGTACTTGTTCTTGGTTTATAACCTCTATTAAACAAATTTTGAAATGCAACAACATCAGCCTCATCCGCATGCTTGTCAAAAACAATAGCATCATTGGAATGCTTAATTTGTTTTCCAGCACCGATAACATACAGGGACTGTAGTATCCATGTGGGTTTGGGGGCTCTCTTAATTGGCAAGCCTGATGTTGGTGCAGAAGGAGGAGACCTCTGCATGCATATCGAAAAATAATGAATGCATTGTTTGAATAAATATATTTGTGCGAACAATATATCATATGACCGCATAGTTGTGACAGGTACATAAATATTTGTGACATATATCGTATACACAAACATCTAATAATATCACGTGTAAGGATGAATGGTGATCTGCGTGCATTGCCACATTTTCAAGTCAATATGTAAGGTGTTTGTGACCCATAAATGTATGCAACGGAATATGAAGTACTTGCTCCTCATTTACGATCTTTGTCGTTACATCAGCCTGCTCCTCAATTTTACAGTCCTTCACCACGCTAGCTATAATAGCATCAACCTCATTAGAAATTATTGGTGTTGAAGCAACACTCAAGTCGAAAGATGGGGTCGGATGAAAGGATGGATATTCAATTTTGTCAGCTGGGTCCATCTTGCCCTTGCCTTTCCTAGCGATATTTTATTGAATATCTGTGACCTGTTGTAACACTCTTAATAGACAACTTAAGGTAATCACTATAAAAAAGGATTTCAATTATAAAATTACGTACCTTCTCTTGCTGTGGTACATCTCCAACGCTGTGAACTTCACTCTTCTCAATCGCTTTTGCAACAATTGTATCCATCGTACTTGATATTAAAGCAGTAATGGAATCAAACAAAAATGTCATGCTTGACCGTATTTTCGTCATGTCCAATCGAATTTCACCTTGGACACAAATAAGTTGATCAATCTGACTGTTCCTATCTCGTTTTAAGTCTAATAGTTGTGACTTCAGATCCTTGAGCTGCACTGTTAACTCTTTATTAGTACACTAAAGTTCATTCATCTGTCCACGTAACTCCTCTCTCAACTTGTCAAACACATGTAAGTAAATAATTGCAAAATGGTTATGTCACATGGTTGTGATTTGTGACCAGTGCAAATTTATAAGACATATGTTTGTGATTTGTGAAACAATAATGTGAGATACAAACATATATCTCAGTAAACTGTGACCAAACACTAGTCCGTGACCTTATTTGGCAAATCTGTGATCTATACGCATAGGTCTACTACTCATTGAAATATGTGTGATCTGACAATTTAACACATTGTTATGTAACCTAAGATTGTGACCTAATAGCCAAAATTGTGAGTTCATAAATAAAAAGACTAGATAATGTACAGCTGGTTGTGGTTCATCATCTGCATGGGTAGCCTGCGCCTGGGGTGAAGTATGGATGTCATGCCCCTCTGGCTCCGTAAGATAATATTCCCGCGTTGCATGCTCCTCAGTAGGTGGGTAGAAACGGGAATGTGTCTTTTTCCTTTTTGGTGGTGTATCAACAATATCGTCGTCGTCGTCATCTTCAGCATTACTTGAATGCCCTTTACATCCATCTGTAATCATTAACAACCGTGGTTTGGGTGTGTGAGATTGGACACGGGGGCTCGTGCCTGCATCGCCTGTATCTCCAAATTGCATGTTCTCTCATACATGTGGTTGCAAAGGTTTCTTGTACAAAATGCCTTTTATATATAGAGCTACAATTTCATCATCAGACGGAACAACGTAATGAACTTCAATCTACAACAGTGATATAATTAACAATCATATCAGTTATCTATGAACATACTGATTATCAAAGTTTTGTGACGTAAGCATGTTCAGTGTCATTATCGTGTGATGGAAACTTGATGACATCACATGATGAATGTAGCATATATTTTATGTGTGTGATCTGTGAAACATGCAATAACCAAATCATGTGTGGCTAACGTGTACATAACTGTGCCTTTACAATATATATTATCTGTTGTGACCCTTAATATATAACTGCGATAGCAATGAACAACAACTAAGAACCAAAAGTTTCACACTTACGTCAAGCTTGGAGAAGACCTCTTCATCCAATTTAACTGTAGATGGCTGTTTGT